GGGGCTCTCCCTGCTGCCCGCCTCGGGCTGCGATGGGGTTAGCGGGACTGCCCCCGCGGGCCCGGGACGCACACGGGGAATTCTCTCCTCGGAAACAATGGAAGAGAAGTCACGGGAGCGGGGCCGTGTCGGCAGGGCTCAGGCGGAGAGAGGACTTTCACCCGGCGATTTCGGGGGGAATCGCGAATTAGGGCAGATTGCCACCCGAGAGTTTCCACGGTTTTTGTGGTCATCGCTGTGTCAGGTTCGCTCTTTTGGGAGCTCCCGGTGCGGATTGGGCTATTGTTTTCATATTTGATGCGCGCTTAACTATGCTTGTGAAAGCTTTTGATCAGTTTTTGGGAGTCGTAGTGATGTTTAAGGGGTTTTCCGGAAAAAAAAAAAATCGTGCTTCTTTTATAAGCTGGGTAAGTGGAATTACGTGAAAACAATCCACAATGGGCCTTTAAATAAATATACTACACAAAAAATACTTCTTCTGAACTTAACTTTTTGCCGCAGACTAAACTTGTGCAATAGTTGCTCTTTTTCTCTTTGCGGCCAGATGCCAGAGAACATTTATGGAGTTTCCTATCTGTTGCTTCCTTCTCTAACTCTGTGAAATGCCCCGATTACATGTAAACTAGGAATATGCATCTAAACCACCTCCAAACAATTAACAGAAACACTCAGGACTGGTGTGAAGTATCTTTGAATTCTCTTTTTTATTATTTCAGGCTTATACTTGCACCAGGGAAATCCTAGGAAAATCCCCTCTTGGTACCTACCGTTGTAGTTAAGCACATAGTCCTCTGTCTGGTGTGAATAGTTTCACAAGAACCTAGTTTATTTAAACTACAAAATGTGAGTTTACTTTCTCCTATTTTACAAACTACGAGCTGGATATACAGTAGGAGAGTAACCACTGTGTTCCAATTGAACCTGCATTTCTGGTTATTTTCCCCATTTTGGCTGACCTAGTTTTAAGGGGAGGACCTACTCTGCTGAATTTTGTAATGAGATGTCAAGACTTTTGAGAAATTGCAGAGGAAATGAAAACGTGGTGGTTCACTTGCAGCACAGCTGGTGCTTTGTTTCTTTTAAGTTGTTAGTGTTAATTCATCGTGCTTACTACTTTTCTGTCTGCAAAGCTAAGGAAATCCTAGTGTTTTATCAATGGAGAAGCCTAGGAACTAGGAAGTAAAATGGAGTCTGGAAGATGCTATGGGAAAGGTTTACTCTAAAATAGACATTTAAGAACAGAATACAGCAATAAAATACTGCTCTATATTAATAGCCTTGTTAACATCAATGAACTACAAACCCAAACAGAAGCTTGCAAGTGAGGAAAAGGTTTCTATCTTTCTCAGCAAAGCCATCTATTTTTAGTGTCTGTTGAAATTGATTTCTTGAGTTTTTTTCTCCTCTATGTTCCTGTGCTTTACCCAGGAGACTCACGAGACACAATCATTCCCTTGAGTAATATGCTATATTGCTTTTGTGAATAATTGTACTCCTATTCAGTAAAATACCTAAAAACATATTTAAGTCTTGCAGAAAACACTGGAATTAAACAAATTCTTAAGTGCTTTGCTGAATAGAAGCCAAGGTCCTGACCTCCAAACACTGGCTTTAAAACAGGAACAAAGTTGTTGTAACAAATCTTTCTGCCTCTTCTCTAGTACTACCCTTTCCTTTTTTACAGTAAATTATCAGTCACATCCGATAGACTTGTGCAACTGAAGTGGTAAGTGGTAATGAGAAACATATTGTAAATATTTGCATTTAAACTGACTTCTGCTGGCCTTTTCTTTGCTTACAGCTCAGAATGATTAGAAGAGTTTGTGTCAGGAGGCTGTGTTTTGGCCTAATTTATTAACATTTTGTAAATGTAATAGAATTCATGTTTGGGTTAGTTTTTATATGCCAGATGTATCAAATGTGCTGTGGAGATAGGTATTACTATTTTGAAACAGACTCACTTGTAGAGAGGTATCTGTGTTAAGCACAGTGCTTTCCAGTATGTTTTTCTTGTGTTTACTTCGGTGTGGAATATGTATAAAAAGCAAACCTTCCTTAACATAAAGAGCCCTACTGCCTTTCTTAGTTTTCTAATGCAACGTCATAAAGAACAGTTCTTCTTGGAAATCCTGAGAAGACCTCAGACACACTGCCAAGCAGAGTTGCACTTCAGCATCTACGTGCGCCGCGGAGAGAACTGTGAGGTCTTTCCCCCAGGTACTTCACCCTTGCAGTACATTCTGCATTACTCTTGGTTTTGGCTCTGTAGAGGGCTGCTGCTGCAGGTGCGCAGGAAAAACCTGGGCTCTTTCCTCTGGACATTGAAGCTGATAGATGTTCTGTCTTCTGCTGCTGTATTTTTTTAATTTAGGAAAAAAAAATAAAGCCCTGTGGAAGTGTGATGTGTGTGTGTGGTAGTTTTAATTACATCTAAAATGATCAATGGAGTCTTAAATAGTGCATTTTGGTTATTTTTTCTTCAGGATTTAGCAAATATCAAATTTACATGCACAACTGACTGTTTTGGAGAGGTGTTTTTTCCTTCCTGTGCTATAGATTTGCTTATCAAGTTGAGGGTTTTTTATATTAGACAATTATTTAAACTATTGCTCAAGCTGAAACTCTTTCAAGTTTTCTTGAAAAATGCATTTTCATAGTGTCAGCCCACAAAGTTGGCCTTGTAATTCGTAGAAGTCAAAGAGCTGGTTGACTCTTACAGACCAGGATCTATGCCTGTGAATGTGAGTTGTAAAATATTTCTGATTTTAAGTGCAGCATTTAAGCTGGTAGCCATTTGGATGGGAAGCAAGCAAGTCTACTTTCAAAAGGTAATCTTCATCTACAACCATTTCGTGTCAGTCCTAGAGAAAAGAGATAACTCATGCCTCAGGTCAAACTGCATTTTAAATTCTTGTCCCTCGTGACTCTGCCTTTTAAATAAGAATTCTGGCAATGTTTGAGTCTTCCAACTGACCCAGTGACACTGCTTATAAACTGGACCTCTGGCCTGCAGTATCTCTGCCTCGTTGCTGTATTACCCTGGTAGGTCCACTATGGTTTGGTACCCGTCTGCCTTTTCCTCTGGGAGCTGGTGTTACCCGCTGCTTGAGAAAGAGCTTCTCTTCTTTTTTAAAAAACTTTTTATTATACTACAAGTTATGTAATGTGGATAGATTTTTTTGGTGCACTGTGGGTTCCTTTTTTGAAGCCTGAATGCCTCTCTTTGTGGCAGCTTTTGTAAACTGTCTTCCAACCTGCTTAGTCCTGTTTTGCCTGGGAGGTATAGACTGCCTTCTGCAGCGTGCTGACTCTGATCTCTCCATCAGGTTGTTTGCCATTAACATATTGCAAGCTCCGTGTTCTGTCCTCCTTGGAAAGAACAGACTTTGCAAGATGAACTGAAGTGAGTCCAGAGCTGCCTCCCAACCAGAAGCTCCTACACTGCTTCCTGAGAGGCTTTTGGCATCGTGCAGTCAGTCTTTTTTAATTTTAAGAGTATGCAACGCCTAACACCAGCTCAGGTGACATAACAGGTTTTAAGAGAGGCCTGCTAAGTTGGAACATAATGGCACAAACCTCAGTTCAAGCAAAGCAGGAAAACAAAGCCTGCCTTAAGTCATTTAAGCAATACAGCGCTTCAGCAGCTCCCTCCATCCTGCTAACTTAAAGTGCATGCTTAAGATCCATTAAGTTTTTGTCCTGGCTAATTTTGGGTAAAAATAGGGCAAGGTAGGGTGGTGTTTAGGCCTCTGTTTTGCTTTGAGGAAGTACAAGTGGAAAAATAGAAGCAGAAGGGTTTAAACCTGAAGTTAAACCCCTTCTTTCCCCCATCCACCCTGTCCTGTGCTTCTGGTTAGGTTGTCACAAGTGTTTTGAGGGTGGTAGCTTGGAGGACGAGAACCCCGCGTTGCTGATGCTGTGCTTTTCACACTGAGGACCTCTGTGGAGACGCTGAGACAACTCGGTAGCGTGTAAGCTTTTTTTTGAAAGCTGATATGGATTGTCTTTGACTGACAGAGAGGAAAAAAATCCTTCATCCGAGGCCGTACCTAATGACTTTTGGATGATAATGTTTGGGTTTTTTTTACAGGGACCTTTTACGTAGCTGTAGTGATACTAAGCCTGTGATTTCAACTATGAGATCAGGTTACCGGCTTTATGATATGTATCACTGTAACATTACATGCTAGTTTAAATAGTAACTGTTGAGATGAGCTTTTAGAGCAGTAGTAACACCCACCTGTTGTATGTAAACACAGCTGGAAACTGGAAACCATATAGATCTCTACAGGCTACAGGCACAATCCCGAGCACGTGTAGAGCCAGTTGATTTCGGTGGAGTGCCTTTGGGCTCTTCCTCTTTCGGGTTAGCTCCTTCGTTTGCAATGCAAGTACAGGGGCTGAACTTCATACTACATCTGTTTATGATTATATTTTATTGGAAACAATTTAAACAATATTGTTAAAGCACTTCTGTCCAAGATCTGTTAGCAATTGTCTATTTTTGGTATGCATCGTTCAGAAGGAAAGTTTTGAAGCCTTTCCTTATTTTTGCAGATATTTACAGTGAGCCCTTCTAGGCTTATTCAAACACTGAGTTGACAGCTGAGTGAGAAATGAAGGCTGATATGAGAGTCCAGTCAGAGTCAGGACACCTCTTAAGAGTGAGTATATGTAATAACGATACTTGGAAACAAGGCCTTGAAAGTGAGGTTGGAGTAAGGAGTCCTCCTAAATAAAAGGAGTTGCATGATCAACATTGCAGCTTAGGAGGAGGATCTTTGCAGCAGCATTGCTAGAATGAATTGATGAAAACAAGTGAAACAAGAAAAAGTGTTGCAGAGTGAGAAAGACCTTCAGAGGAACATGAAATAGCTATTGGGAATGAGGACAGGATGGGGTTTGAAGCTACAAAGCCAGGAGAGGTCAAGAGTTCAAGAAATTTTGTGAAAGATACATGAAGGAAGATGCAAGAGTGTTTCTGAGAACTGGCCAGGGAGACATCAGGATAGAGTTTCAATTCTGAGAGTGGTTTTGTTGGGAATACTAGGATGAGTGCAGATAGCTTGTCATTCCTCTGTCCAGTTTCATCCCTCATATTTTCCAGCTGTTAAAACACTGTAGCTACTGACTTTGGAAAGGAAAGGGAAGTGGGATGGTAATTAGTGAAGTCAAGGTTCCTATTTTAAATGAGAATATTGAAGAATGCTTTCAATGGAGGAGACTGAATCAGGAAGGAGGCCTTCGTGGAGAAGGATGAGAAGGGC